GTGTGTGTGTGTCTCCAAGAGAATGACTTGACATTTTTTTCCTGCTGCCGCTAAGCTATTGTTGTTGTAGATATATATGCATATGTATGTGTGTGTTGTAGCTTTGCTCACTGCCATTGCTGCTGATAAAGTCTCATTGCTGGCCAAGAATACGTGTACACAAGAAACACACGTCAAATCCGCATTCAATTAAAAATGACCGAAAGCAAAAAACAACGAAACGGAAAAGAAAAAGCATAGAAAAGTGCGACAAAACAAGAAATTAAGGTCTACTCCAGAAAAGGAATGTGCTAAAACCTGCAAACCAGCGAAAATTACAGAAACTCTCGCATACTTGCAAATGTATGTTTGTATGTAGCTACAGACTGAAGCCGGACTAGAAGTAAAAGAAGAACTTGGTAGTGTCGGCTGCCAAAATATTAATGGCAGTCGATGTAAAGATTTATGAAATTATATAACCAGCGGGTAATAACGGTCGTAAAACGAAAAGCGCTAGAAAATGGAAGAGCTATAATGACACTGTTTTTTCAGTGGGTTGATTGAGATGTTAAAGTTTTATTCAATGCATCTCTGGTTATGTATTTCAAACACAGAAGTGTATATTCAGTATAGTTCGTTCCAGATCGTTCTTGCTTTCGACATAGCATTTTCCGAAAGATCGTTATGATTCGCGTGACGACCTCTCGTTTCCACTATCACAGATAAACAGCTCAATATAATTTTTTACTGTTCAAAAACAAATTGGTGCTGTAGGAGATCTTGAGGTTTTTTTCTTAAAGTTTATTTCTTTATCGTGGAACCTCAAGAATCATTTATGATCTCCTAATTTTTGCTCACTAATGCACATCCCGTCGAAGAGGTTCATTATTTGGACTGCTCGTAAATGCACCGTTTAAACAAGAGCGACTTTGCTTCAATGCATAGTTCAAAGTAATTATTTGGCGAAGTACATATAAATTTTTAGTTTAAGTGTTCATAGATCCTTCATATATTGAGTTAGGTTTTTGTTTATCATTCAACCTGAGGTATTTTCCAAGCCTATAGGTATTCTGAAACCCATGGTAACAAGTTATTTACTACAGGGATTTAGTTTTACAAGTATGTTATGAAAACCTTATATAAAATATTGTAAAATTCCCACTGTTATACGTGTTATACGTTCATATTGTACCATACTCGTACATTTTTTTATATTTTAAAAAACAACTTAATAATCATTAACAAATACACATGATCTGAATAGGTCAAGTTTTCGGGAAGTTTAATTCTGTCTCCTAACTATTTTATTGGGTTTTACCAAATCACCCAGCTTCTCCATAATTCAGTTAGATCAGCAAGATATGTTTAGCATACTCCTTTAATTAAATATCATTTCTGCTGGATAAGTCTTTTGCTGACTCTGAAAGTCTAATAGTACAAGAGAAATTCATTAGTAAGTAAGGTAAAATTCGCAGTAAATTTTCGACACCTTAGAGGCCGGACATTGAGGCCTTATATTTTCGATTAGATAATTTCTGCGAGAATTCACTGATTTTAAGTGGTCTATTGTAATACCACCAGATCTCAGTAAAAATATTTTTCTGAAAAAAACTGGTGTGTTTCTAGACGTGTGATTTTCAATGAGGCAATCGTTTTTTCGGAGTTGGTATTTTTGACAACTATAAGGGTATATACTCTGAAGAAATTGTTCAGATCGGACCACTATGAAATATAGCTGCTTTGTAAACTGCCCTAATTAAAAATATCTGTGTTGTTATGTTAACCTTAGCTGTCATGAGTCAATTTAAATATTAAATCTGGAAAATCATTTATTTATCGTAACTTGAAGCTTTCCATTATGATTAGAAATAACATCAAGTCTCGAAGAAAATTGTCAGAAAAACTGAAAATTTCACCTTAACTTTAGTCGACTTAAACAAATTGATTAATTTAGTAATTTATTGCCTCATACATACACACATATATAACTACTTATATCCTTTCATTTTGTTAACAGAGATTCACAGTTGAAAGCTTAGAGAAAGTAGTAAATTTCATAAATAGTATAAACTTTTCAAATTTTTGCTTTGTGTTTGCTCTTTGTTTTCAAACTTTGAATTGCACATAATCGCATAATTTCTTTCAATTTTCAATTCAACTGATCTGTTCTGATTTCTATTAACGCAAAAAGTTTTCAAATCCACAAGAAGAGAACAGCTGTTCGGCGAGACTCATTAATTAACCAGCGTCTTGCTCGCTGCCAGACAACAGGGCGGGTAAATCGATTGAAACGCCCCAAATGAAATCATCGCAATCACAAAGAGAACAATAACAAACAAATCAACTAATAGTCGTGCATAGATACCGTATCTATGTATGTATGTATATATGTATGAGCACACTTGTGTCTATAAAACAATTTATTTTAGTCAATAATCTTTTATCGCGAATCGCAGCGTTTTCATTTTAATGCGAAATCAATTGTGTCATAGCACGCTTTTAACTCGAATCTATACCGCATGGAAATTGCAATAACAACAATTAGTAGCGATGTGAAAGGTACATATGTATATAAGGGTGTTTTTTTTAGAGGTGTGGAACTTTTATTTAAAATCAAACATGCAAAGATGTCTGAATGGTATATATTTTGGCTTAATTAGCCCGAAAATGTTATATTGAACGGAAATTCAGGCATACGGTTACCCGTCTTTGACTTTAAGGATTATTGTCGAATATAGCCATATTACACGTCTCAGGTGGCCAATGAGCAATATCTTTTTTGATATGATATGATCACCAAGAATTCGGCACTTAGAATATTGAGTTTGACTAGCTGAAATAAAAATAATTCACCTCACCTGTGCGTTCACCATTTATATTATATATATTACTAGCGATAGCTCCATCTGTATCTTGAAAAACTTATGAAGCACTATATCAATAGTGACAGGTGATTGACAGCTATCCATTAAGAAATTTCTACACCTCTAAAAAACTACCCCATTTATGAATATTAACTACACAATTATAGTGCTAACATCATAGATGAAATGTTAAACATTGCAAGTGTAATAATTTAGTAAGCGAAGCCTATTACCTTATTTATACATTAATATCGTTTTGAAAAACTGGCTAATGACGGTGTAATGAATTTGAGTGAATTGCAAAAATTCTAAAATTCCCCATGAAATAAGTAAATACTAATCAATGTTTAATAGAATGCAATGAACAAGGAAGTGTGTGGAGTTTTTCAACTTCGCTCAATGCAGGTTGACAGTATTATTGATTTCTTCTTATACCCTGGACAGGGTAAATTTTGCACACCTTCTTTTCTTCTCAAGAAGCTGCTCATTTGTCGGAACCGCCGAAATCGAGCCACTATAGCATATGTATATATACAGTCCTTGTAAGGAAAACTTCTGCACTTAAAAATATATCTTCCCGAAATGGATTATTGTTTAAGACAACGGTAAAATCTTTAAAAAAATTGTTCAGATTGGACCACTATAACATATACATGGCTGCCAAACAAACTTACCTATCAAAATAAAGTTTTTGTATGAAATCTTTTGTATATGTAAAGGGTATAGTCTAAGTTTTCTGTTTTTATACTCTCGCAACCTGTTGCTACAGAGTATAATAGTTTTGTTCACCTAACGGTTGTTTGTATCACCTAAAACTAATCAAGTTAGATATAGGGTTATATATATAAATGATCAGGATGAAGAGACGAGTTGAAATCCGGGTGACTGTCTGTCCGTCCGTCCGTCCGTCCGTCCGTCCGTCCGCCCGTGCAAGCTCTAACTTGAGTAAAAATTGAGATATCTTTATGAAACTTGGTAGACATGTTTCTGGGTACCGTGAGACGGTTGGTATTGCAGATGGGCGTAATCGGACCACTGCCACGCCCACAAAACGCCATTAATCAAAAACAAATAAATTGCCATAACTAAGCTCCGCAATAAGATACAAGACTGTTATTTGGTACACAGGATCACATTAGGGAGGGGCATCTGCAGTTAAAATTTTTTTTTTTTAAAGTGGGCGTGGTCCCGCCTCTAATAGGTTTAATGTCCTAAACCGCTAATGCTATAATAACAAAATTCACTGGAAGCAAATGTTTTTAGCACTTCTATTGACGGTGTGAAAATAGTTGAAATCGGGTGGCAACTCCGCCCACTCCCCATATAACGGTACTGTTAAAAACTACTAAAAGCGCGATAAATCAAGCACTAAACACGCCAGAGACATTAAATTTTATCTCTGAGATGGTATAAGATGACTTTATAGGAACCGCGTTCAAAATTAGACAGTGGGCGTGGCACAGCCCACTTTTAGGTGAAAACCCATATCTTGAGATCTGCTCAACCGATTTCAACCACATTCAGTGCATAACGTTCTTTTCATGTTTCTATGTCATAGTGCGAAAATGGGCGAAATCGGACTACAACCACGCCTATTTCCCATATAACACCTTTTTCAATTCCATCTGATTCTTTCACTTTCCACTATGCAAATCAGGTAACAATAATTATATCGGGGTAAAACTGTGCGTGAATAATGCAATTAAAGTATGCCACCTTGCGGCCAAAAATTGTCTAAATCGAACCAAAACTGTTCAAACCCCTAAGTACTAAATATGTGGACCCCAGTGCCTATAGTTGACCTTCTACCATAAATATCAGTCAATCCACAAAGAAATCTAAAACGAGTATACCATTTGCCTTTGCGAGAGTATAAAATGTTCGGTTACATCCGAACTTAGCCCTTCCTTACTTGTTTGTTTATAGTTTTTATTGCTGTTGCTTTGCATTTTAAGCGGCCAGCTGTCAATTTGTTATGTTTTTTTTAATTTTATTTTGATTATTTTTTGTTTTCGTTTTACTTTTCTTTAATAATAAATAATTTATATTAATCTCTATACACCATAAATTTGTATATGAATATGTATATATTTCTACCGATTACCACTCTTTTGATCTCCAACTTTCTCTCTCTCTCTCTCTTCCGTTCTGCTTTAGCTCGTCGCTCATTTCAGCGTTTGTCTGTGGCTGACGGCGAATTCGATTCAGTTGGCGTGCGCTGATCAATTGACGTTGACTTGGTAAAATCGCTCGTAGGGCACTTATATAATATATATTTATATACATACATATGTATATGACTACGGCGTGTCTAGTGTTGAAAGATCAAAGAATCTAAATTTTGAAAAATTTACAAAAATTGGTACTTTTTATGCAAGGAAATTGCGCAAATAGTGTTGAAAATATTTTAATTAATTACAATAGTGTTTGAAATATGCGCAAAAGTGATACTGGGTGCTACAAAAGTGTGTGTTCGGTTAAAAGAATTAATAACAACAACAAAAATAAATAAATTCACTTACATATAAACATGAAAAGTTAGTGCGGTGCCAAATTGCGTTGCAAATTCCGCAGCAACAGGAATTTCCGGCGCTTCTAAGAAAACAAAAACCGTCTAAATCGACTTCGTCAAGTGTGTGTGTGTTTGTGTTAGTGTAGGCAGTGTTGCCGCGGAAGTTGGGCGCAGAATATACTAAGTACAACAACAATAATTTTTTTTTTGTTTTCGTGTAGAAAAAACAACAAGTTTCAAAGAAAATACAACAACAACCAAATTAACATTAATATGTTTTGCGTCCTAAAAAGTGTAAAAAACAAAGATAAAATTTCATAAAAAATACAGCAACAACAAAAAGTTTTAATAGAAATACAAAAACAAAAATTAATTGAAAGGTGTCGGAATTGAATCACCGCTTGCAGAAAAATTATACTTAAGCGTATTCCAGCAATATAATAACAACAACCACTTCCAATTGCTTGTTTCGTGTTTTGCGTTAGTGCTTGCATTGGTGTTAGTGTTATATTTTTTGTGACTCGTGTGTGTGTATATATTTTGTTTGTGTGTGTGTGTGTGTGCTACAGCAACGCAATTAACCGCCGCCAACAAGCAAGCAATCGCCATTAACTAACTTAGTGGTCTGAAATAACAATCATCAGCAACAACAACGACAACAACAACAACAACATTTATAATCATAACAAGCAACAACAAGGCGTGGCGACAAAAACGCTGGAATTCCAAAGTCTCTTTGACGTTTGACGACCAATAACGCGTTGCCGTTCTAAGCGCAAGCACAGAAGAAGCAGCATTTCTTCAGCTTTGAAAGAAATCGCTTAACGCTCCAAACGCTAAGTCACGCAACGCTTCAACTACCTACATACATACATACTGAAACAAATAAATAATAATTTTTATTGTGCTTGCAAACAACAACAACAATAATGGCTTAAATATGGATATTTCAATTATCACCTCCTCCGTTGCGGCCGAGTTTAGTGGCGGCGTAGCTGCCAAATCGTTTGCCGCCGCCAAAATGAATTTCTCCGAAGCGAGCGCTCGATTATCGCTGGAAGACACGGTAAGTTTTACTCGCCATTATTGACTCATGTACCTATGTATGTGCATAATAATAAATAACACACTTTTATATAGTTATGCATACTTTTATACATACATATATATGTATATATATATATACATATGTATATAGAATAGTGTATATACATATGTACCGATATGTATCTAGTGCGGCACATTTATTATATCATTATTTGCTGTTATTCATAAGTTTTTGTGATTTTTCGATTTATGACGGCAGGTGGTGTGGCCGTGTCGCAGCTAATGCCGTTGATAATAGCTTTTTTGTTGTAATGCTTTTTGTTTTTCTAACAATGTGTATCTGATAGCTGGCGGCAGGCGTTCAACTACAATACATATACAGATATACATTAAAATACTCGTAGATACACATACATACATATATACAATAGTAGTATATCTATATATGTACCATATACTTTAATTTTCTTCTTTTTAATATATATTTGCGGTTTTGATTTGAAGCCGCTGCCACCAATGCATTCTTTTACTTAGTCTTTTTTGTATTTTTTGGCGGCGAATCTCTCCAATATAAAGGGTTTCCCAATAAGAGTGATATGATTTAAAAAGAAAGCACACTAATTGGTAAGGAAATTCCAATGTTTTTTATTTAGTGTGAAGTACAATCGATACAATTAAGTTCTGAATATTACATCATTCAAAGGACCTCCACAACTTCTTTTGCAGGAACGAATTCGAGGAACCTAATTTTCGAGTACTTTTTCCACTATATCAAGCCGTATGTCATGAATAGCACGTTCAATATTCACTTCTAAAGCTTGAAGAGAGTCTGGTTTATTGCTAAAGATCAATTACTTCAAATAACCCTACACGAACTAGTCTAATGGTGTTCTTGGAGGCTTGGTGTTCAATGTCACGATTTATTGAAATTATCGAATCTCCAAACTTTTCTCGCAATAATTCAGTTGTTGCACGTGCTGTGTGGTACGTAGCCCCGACTTGTTGGAACCAGATATTGTTAAGATCAACTTCTTCCAATTGAGACCCTAAAAAGTTGGTTATCATCGATTTATACCGCTCTCCGTTGACAGAAACGGTGTCACCAGCTTCATGTCGAAAGAAGTACGGATCCATGATTCCACCAGACCAAAAACTACACAATGAAACTGAATACAATGAAAAAAAATTACGATCATGACATATTAAAAATGGCCGGTACCTTTATTTTCAATTGTATGCAACCGAATTGCTTAATTGCATTCTCTAGAAAATATTAATAAGGACAGGAGTTGTGTTCAAAACTATAATGACACCATTTCGCCATTATTATTTACTCATTTGTATAAATATCTTTGCTTGTATTTTGCAAAAATATTGTAACATATTCATTATAAAACCACAAATTGAATGATATCTTGACACACTTACGTAGACAAACCCCTAAGGTGCATTAAATGGCACTGTTTTGCACGTGTTTTTTGAAACAATATATAGCACAGGATTAAGTTCATTTCACATATTTATCAGATGAAATGGAATATTCGTGGCAAAATTTGATCGATAGTTCACGCTGGGTACGAAAAATTTCTGAAACTAATATGTGTATATCATTTCGATTTAACTCATATTTAGAACACATTCTTACATGGAATAAAATATTTTGGACTACACATCTTCCCTATAGATTAAGCTAAAAAAATATCAAATTATTTTGCAACTCCTAATAATTTTTTCTTATTATTAACGAGGGGTCGTTAAACTTATTGACTAATAAAGAAACTGCATGAATCGAGAAGAATTTTAGTGTGCAATGATATTTGAAGTGCTAAGTGCTTAAAGTTAAAATGTGTTTTACATTTTACCATACTGCTTCAAAATACCATAAACATATCGTCCTTTTAAAACGTACTTATACGGAAATGCTCCGGAAACGTTACAGAATTTTGAATATGCACGAGGCAGCATCCGGCATTAATCTCAGTGTTGAAAACTAGTTCTTCAATTATATTTATGCGGCTTGTAGAACCGCTAAAATTGTGTAACGGTAAAATACTTTGAGTTACAAATCTAATATCATCTTATCTATGTTATTTGAAAATTATGACAAGGTTATAAAAGAGCCATGAGGTTAATGCTTCCTAAAATCTAACAAGTAATTTAAATTTTGCAACTTCCATAATATAATATTATACGTATTGAAAGTGGGTAACCCTGTATATAGCGGTAAATTAGTGGAATTCAGTAATACAAGTACATTCGAATTATTTTGGAAGTCTGTGTTATATTAAAGTTTTTTGTATCGAGTGATTAATTTTTCTCGCTGTGGTTTAAATTTTTGCTATAGTTTTATGTTTTTTAGCCAACGATATTATTTTACGAGTTAAGGATAAGTAATCAATTTTTTAGGGCTGCTTCGGTGTAATGATTATGTATGTTCAAAAAAAAGTGAGTAAAATGTAATTTATGAGAAAGAAATGGGTATTTTATTAACATTTTGAAAAGTTGGTGTGAAAACACAAAAAAAGGGAATTGAAAGTGGAATAACACAATTTTCAACATAACCTTGCCTAACACTATAACGTTAATTTATTACAAAAGATGAGTGGAAATGTTTAAATATAGATGAGGAAGACTTTATGGTTACAACAACTCAATGTGATGTTGCTTATCACAAGTAAAGAAATGCTAAGTCGGGTGTAACCGAACATTTTATACTCTTTCAACTTGCAAAGAGCAAAGCCGACGAAATACTTTCAGGTGTTGACAAAACTGCATATTAAAAAATGTTACGACGAAATCGTGTTTGAATTACAATCAAATTTGGTATCATATTATTTTACTTAGATCATTAAATACCGGCATTTTCTCCTCCACTCTCCGGCTTTTGCTAGTTTGAGACATCAACATCTCGGCAATCACACTTTCGGCGGACCAGATGACTTGACCGTCGCAACAAGTTTGTTATATGCACAAAGCGCTTTGTCCACATGTAAGTGTCGTTTGATCCAGCTTATAGGAATTCTTAGGTACCACAACGGACCGGCGTTTAAGCTGTCCAAGTGTGATCCTTCTTAGGATCGACCTCCTAACCTAACTTACTTTGAAGGTCCCTTAGTTCCCTTTGTTTTATTATTTATATTATATTTCGCGTCAACGAAAATTACCTTAAAATCATCCGTTATTAGAGATGTGTGACAAGACTCAACCGAAGAGGCTAAGTTTAATATATTGAGTTGATGTGGAAAACGTCCATCAGAAGATCGGAATTGATGATATTAGATATGTGAGAATGAGACGAAGGTCTAGACCAATTCCATTTATATTCAGCGTTAAGCCAAATAGTATATTAAGAAAACTTGTATATCAGTTTTAAATCTTAAAATTACTGCACAGTTATGGCACTTTATAGGTTGCTCTGCAATAGCGTCGCCCCCCGTGTACGAAGTTTCATTACGATATCTCAAATACTCAAGATACAGCTGGCGCACAGACAGTCACTCGGAACTCAACTCGTCTTGTCATCCTTATCATTTATGTACATATATTTCACCCTATATCTATGTCTATTAGTTTTAGGTGATACAAACAACCGTTATGTGAACAAAACTATTATACTCTGAGCAACATGTTGCAAGAGTACAACAAAACACACCTTATAGTGGATCCTGAACTTAAAGGTTAGCATCCTTTACATTTACTAAAGGCTTTAACTAAATCGTCTACTCAATTTTTTATTTAATTGGTTATGGAATTGTAATATAAACAATATAAAATAATATTAATATTATAACACTTTATGTATTCTTGAATAAGACCATGTTAGAGACGTATTTTAGTTTGAGATAACCTGTATATACTGAAATAAATATATGTAAATGTTTCATTTAACTAGGACTTTCGAGTGTAAAGCTTAAATTTTATTATTTAATGGCATTATGTTAAGCGTGAAACATTTACACGAACTATTATATACAATATAGAATTGCCTTTATTAAGTACGTTAACGTGTTTATAGCGCACAAATCAGATTAATTAAAAAGCTTGCGCGGGGTATACACGCGGCAGTGTACTTCCTTAAATTCCTCTTCTTTTTCTTTACTTTATTTTATTTCATTTGATTTGTGCTTCTTTACCTTCACATCACTTGAATTTCAACTCATCTTTTAGCCATTAACTTGTCGCTGTTGCTGTGTTCTGACCTTTCTACGTCGAAACCAAGCGTGGCGGTAGCGAAGATGTTTCGAAATCAGAGCATGTTTTAAATTCCATATCAGTGCTCGCGCATCAGCGTCGGAATTTTCGATGTTTCCACAAAAGCAAATATTGTAAACGTGTGTCCATTTACTTATTTTTGCTTTCTGTGCTTCTTTTTCTTAAGTGTGTTGTATTTCTTTTTCGCGTTTATGGCACTTCTTTACTTTGATTAATTCAAACATTTAAAAAAAAATTTTGGTGTGTTTCTGCCGTGAACATGTCCATCAAAAACTTTATTTGTGCTCCTCCACTTTGTGTTAATTTACGCATAATTTCTTTGCATTGGATTCTACTACATCTTCCACTTCCCGCCCTTACCGTTTGTTGGTGTTCACTTAATTGACTTGGCTTTTGTATTCTCGACGTAAAATAATATAAAAATTCATACGCGTCTACATATGTGGTTGTTATAATTTTCGTTTTCGTTTTTGTTGTTGTTGCTGTTGTTTTTATTGTTGTTGTTTTGTATATATTCTATTTTCTTTTTGTTTCTTTTTCTTAAGCCTCTCCATCTACATTTTTATTGGCGTGCCGTTCTCCCATATCCGTTCACAAAGCGCTTTGCACTATTTTTTTACGCACACAAACACACACACACATATTATATGCTTGTTTGTGTGCTTGTAAATGTAAATTTCATCAAAACCACCTGTGTGTTCTTTTTATTCACTTGAGAAACTAACCATTTCACACATTTTTTTGCCTCGCTCTCCTCTTCGCTATTCCGCTCTGCGCTCAACAAACTCCTTGAATTTGAATTTTAAT